TGTAGATCAGGCTGGTCTCAAACTCATAGAGATATGGCTGCCTCTACCTCCCGAGTGCTGGGGTTAAAGTTGTATGCCCAGCTTTTTATTTATTTATTTTTGAGACAGCATCTCTGTATCCTTGGCTGACCTGGAACTTACTATCTAGACCAGTCTGGCCTTGAACTCATAGAGATCTGCCTGCCTCTGCTTCTTGGGTGCTAGGATTAAAGGCTTGTACCACTACTCCTAACCCTTATATTTTATTTTAATCACATGTACATATGTGTGTCTGTCTGGAGTAATGTGCACATAAATGCATGTGCCCATGGAAGCCAGAAGAGGGTGATGACTCCCTATAGTTGGAGTCACACGTGGTGGCAAGCACCCATCTGCATACTGGGAACCAAATTTGTCTCCTCTGCAAGATCAGAACGCTGTCTTCACCACTGAGCCGTCTCAGCCCCCTCTAGCATTTTTAAATCCAGAAAACTGTATGCAAGAGGAACCTGAGCACTGTGTCTGGCCATTAGGGAGATGAGGACAAGTGAAGCCAATTGAAGTGGCTTTTGAATGAAGAGGTAGCTCTCACAAGGCACAGGCTGATGAAGGGCAAATGCCATGAGGATCCAGGACTGGCCATCACATTTAGTGGAGGAGGTGATCTACATGAAACAGGTGACATTTGAGCAGATACATATCTGGACAAGGGTGGGCGCAAAGGCCATTGCAGAGAGGGTTTAAATGGGAGGAGAACAGTGGAGATGAGGGTCTGGCAATCTGTCAAAGCATCTGATGGCACACAGGGACAAAGAAATGGGGCAGTTGCTAGATGAGGTGTCTCAATGACTGAGCAGTGTCGGAGGCTGCGTGTTGCTTTTCCTAAGAGGCGGGAGAAAGTGAGGACTAGAGATCAAGGTCACTGCTTGCTTAGCATGTGCAAAATTCTGACTTCTATTCTTTTCTTGCTCCTTCCTTCCTTCCTTCCTTTCTTTCTTTCTCTTGCTATTTGAGACAGGGTTTCTCTGTGTAACAACCCTGATTGTCCTGGAACTCACTGTGTAGACCAGGCTGGCCTCAAACTCACAGAGATCTGCCTGCCTCTGCCTCCCAAGTGTTGGGATTAAAGGCACGCGCCATCACTGCCCACCCGGCAAGATTCTGGGTTTAACTCCCAGCACTGCAGTAAGGGGCTGTGGCTGGGCAGACACTGACAGCTGAGAAAGGCTGCTAGAATCTGTAGACGTGCCCCCTCCCATTTCACGTTTCTTGGTGAGAAACAAGCAAACTATCAGTTGCAAGTGAGGGTAAGAGACAGATGACAGGCCGGGGGTGGGGGTGGCACACGCCTTAATCCCAGCACTCAGGAGGCAGAGACAGGCAGGTCTCTGTGAGTTTGACACCAGCCTGGTGTTTAGAGCAAGTTCCAGGACAGGCTCCCAAGCTATAGAAAAACCCTGTCTTGAAGAAAAAAAATAGCAAAACAAAAAAGCCACATGACAAAAGCATGAAGAAGGCAGGGTAGGAAGCAAGCAGCCATCTGGTGGTAGTGGGAGACCTGATCTGAAAAGACAAGAATCTGAACTCGGTTCTTAGGCTCCTGCTTAGTATGGTCTCTGTCCGTCTGTCAAGCCTCGCCCCCTCAACCCATCTCTGCCTTACCTGCTAGCTGCATTGGCCACCTTCCGTGTTGTAGACAACTCCAAGAGCTTCCCAGCTTTTCCTCTGCCAGCATAATTTTTCCCTTGTTGGTTGAGGGTCCTATAAGACGCCTGTGGATGGATGTTGTTGAAATTGAGAGACAAGCAGTGTGTGATGGGGTGGCAAGGAGAGGCTGGAAGGAGGGCGTAGAGAGGGCAACAAGCTGGGAGTATTGACATTTTTCTCTTTGAAGTTTCTGCTATTACCAAGTGCTTGTTTGTGCGAGGAAATACATATCTGATACAGACAGCAGGAAAGGTGACTGGTAAGGAGGTCGTCAAGGAAGACCTTACTGCAAGGGGACAATTGAGGAGACAGATGAGCCACATAGTCTCGTGGAGGAAGCAGAATGTCGCTGGGGGAGACGGCAGGGCACAGAGTCATGCAGGTCATGCTTAGCGTGTCAAAGTGGTTGGAGCAGAACATGGCTATGGAAAGAAGAAAGAGGGGGGAGGTTGGGAGGGCCTGAGCTTACTGACTTCTGCCAGATCTCTTTATGCCAAGTACTTGGAAACTGGAGACTCTGCTCCTCCTCATGTCTTAGCAACCCCTTGAGCTGCTGTGTCAGAAACAAGGTTTCGGGCTCCTCTCTGCCAGGTATAAGTGACATTCCAGGGCACTGAGAGCAGACAGCCAGCGGAGGACAAGCCAGGAGCTGGACTGAAAGGCTGGGGGAAGTTGAAAGGAAGCAGTGACCTCAGGAAGAGATGGGGACTTTGAAGGCTGTAGTGCAATCAGAGATGTCTGAGTGCCTCTTAATTTCGGGGACCTCTGAACCATAGAATGGGGTCAAGAGAGCTGGGAAGCGGCTGTGGGTATAGTGATACAGGGCTTGTCCAGCAAGTGCCAGGCTCTGCTGGGTTTGGTCCTCAACACTGAGAGGGCTGTGGAGGGCGATAGAGGGGGAGGTGTGAGGCTGCAGTATATGCAACGGCCAACTCATTCCTACCAAGTGTTGCTGGGAAGGACAGTGGGGATTGTGCTTGGCTGTAATGAAAAGTATATTTACAGAACTATTCTGGGGCTGTAACCTCTGTTCTGAAGGCCCTGGTGTTGGGGCTTAGGATGATCACCCAACCACCAGGGCATGAATATTGTAGGCTGCCTTGGGCATGGTCCTCCAGAGTTCAGGTAGAGCTCCAGCTTGGAACCAGTGTCACAGAGATGCCCTCTTCTGGGGCTCTCAGCAGGAGCCTACTTTGACCAGAGGGTGTGTCCCTGGCTATCCAGCTTTGTTTTCAAAAGGACCAAAAGTCTCTCTGATGCTGCGAGCAGGTCTGTACATGAGGAAGCCCCCCCATACCTGTGTTTGTTTACATATATCCTTTCCGTGTGATCAAGTTAGTATGTATATAAAGAAGAAATTATCAAAATTATCCTGCCATCTCGTAGTTACCACCTGTGAGAAGCTTTATGTCTTGAAACTAAGGAAAAATCCCAGCCACAGTTTGAGGAAACCTTTCTGTGTTCTCCACTTGGCCCTTCCTCCTCTTCTGTGGCCGACTCCCTTTGCTTTGTCTGGTTGGCCACCAGATGTCGCTCTGGTCAACGTTTTAGGGCTTAATGTGGTTTGACCAGAGGACACTGCCAGGTTTTTCTGAGATTCTGGGTAACCTAGCCCTCCCTTTGGGGTTCTGAGTCCATTCTGTTCTTGGGCTGGGGCAGTGCCTGACTCTGGGTACTCCCTGTCCTGTTCAGGTCAGAGGAAGTAGGTGTTGTTAGGGCCCAAACCTGAAAGTGAGCAGAGAAGCCTGCCATGCTGAGCAGTGGCTGGAGCTGGGGAGGAAGCTGGGAAATGTGAGACAGGGACTTGGGAGCCTGAAAAGTCAGTGGGAGGGCAGAGTGATGGTGTGACCTGAACCTAAGAAAAGCAGGGGAAAACAGGTTTTCCCTCCCTGGAATTGTCCTTTCAGAGGAGAGCTAGTGGCTAGCTCAGTAATTCTGGAAGTTAGATGTGAGGGACTTGGATAAAAAACGACTCTGGAAGTTAACTTTCCCCCTCGTTCTTAGTTCCACCACTCCCAAGGGAGTTTTTTTGTGTTTTTGCAGGACTGGGGATTGAACCTAGGGTTCCAGGCATGCTAGGCAGTGCTCTGTCACTGAGCTATATGCCTAGTCCTTAAAACGCATCTTTACTTTTTGTTATTATTATTATTATCATTATTATTATTTTGTTTACCATTGCTGTTTGAGACAGGGTCTCACTGTGTAGTCCTGGCTAGCCTACAACTTGCTATATAGACTAGGCTGTCCTTGAACTTCAGGCCTTCTGCATCAGCTTCAAAGAGCTAGGATTACAAACCTGTACCATCAGACCAGTCCACAGGGCCTTTGTTAATCTTTTTGTCAGCATGGGCAACCCAGGTTTGAGGATTTTCTCTGGCATTAGCAGAAAAAGCAAGCACCAAGATTCTCACCTAGGTCCTGTTAGAGACCTAGGAGATGGTATGTATGTAGTTGGGGGGGTGAGAGGTGTTAAGTATTTTCTGACCAACAAACCTCTCCCCCGATGAAATAATCCCAATTAGACTGAATTAGAAAATGCTCAGGTTTAGGAATGCCAGCATGCCGGGCAGTGGTGGCGCACGCCTCTAATCCCAGCACTCAGGAGGCAGAGACAGGCAGATCTCTGTGAGTTCGAGGTCAGCCTGGTCTACAAGAAGTAGTTCCAGGACAGGCTCCAAAGCTACAGAGAAACCCTGTCTCGAAAAACAAAACAAAACAAAAAAAAAAAATGCCAGCACTCCCGGGTGGCACCCTAGAAAAACACAGAGGGGGTGAAAGGAGAACTGGAATGACCACTGGAGAGGGAAAAGGGGAGACCATGTGTTCACTCTCTGGAGGGCAGCTTAAATAGCCTGTGGGAGTGATCTTGACTCTGGGGGGGGGTCACCATTTGGTGGTCTTTCTTGGAGGTGGAATCTGGACTGCAGCCACTCCCAGGGGAGGGGGCTTATGCCAGGAGCTGGGGTGAAGCCCCCAGCCAAACATTCCAGGATTTTTTGGATAAAGATGTTAGGGGTTGAGGTGACGCTTTTAACTAAACATTTTTTAGACTCCTTGTATATATGTATGCCAGGGGGCTGGGGTGAAGCCCCCAACCAAACAGCAGGGGAGGTGGTTTTTAAGGCTTCATGGGAAGAGAGCAAAGGCATGATGCCCTGATGAGCTTTTTCCTGCAGACTCATAGTAAAGCCTGGCCTTCCCCTTGCTGTAGGGGCGGAATTTAGTCTGTTCAGCACCAGGCCTAGCGTTGGAGACCCTCCTGAAGCCTAGCCTTTCTTGGTCAGGGGCTCATCTCTCTGGTCTCTTCCTCACAGCTCCTCCAATGACACGGTACAGCCCCGTGTTTGCCATGCAGCACATTGTGGGCGTGCCCCATGTACTGGTACGGAAAAGCTTCTTGGGAATGGACCTCGTTGTGACAAGGACTCTGTGCAGTCCTGGTCCCAACCAGCCCAGAGAGAAGCGACCAGAGGCCGCAGCCTTAGGGTTGTATCACCGCCTCCCCGCACTGGGAAGAACACTGGGCCACACCATTCAGCAGCAAGCGGCCTCCACAGCCAAGGCTTGGTGGGACAGATACGAAGAGTTTGTGGGACTCAATGAAGTTCGCGAGGCCCAGGGGAATGTAACCGAGGTGAGGAGAGGAGCCAGGGTGCTTGCCTTTGCCTTCGTTTGGGGAAATACGACTTGGGTTCCTAACAAAACAGTTCCCAGTGGCACACGTGATGACAGCTGGGAACGGTGTGAACACTGTTTGACCAGGCCTTCCATGTCCTTGATTGGCCTTGGAGTCTCTCTGTAGCCAAACTCCTGATCTTCCTGTGTCCACCTCCTGAGCCTGGGATTTCAGCTGTGTGCTACCACAGCTGGCCTTCTTTTCTTTCTAAGACTGAGTTTTGTCCAAAGTCCAGTCTGGCCCGGAACTTACAGTATATTTTAGCTGGTTGCGAACTTGTGATCTTCCTGCCTCAGAGCTGAGATTATAGGCGTGGGTTACCACACCAGCTCAAACTTGCCTTTTCTGAAATGAACATCACTGGTAGAAACATTTGACTCTCTCACGCAAAAATCTGGGTCTGTTTTACTGGGGTGAAGGTCTCTCTGTAATTATACCTACTGCTCTCTGCTAAAATGCCCTAGCCTATGACTCCCCAGTTGTATTAGGCCAGCAAATTGTCCTTTGTGGATTTTGCCTATGGTGTGAAGGCAGAGGGCACTGGGAAACATTATATTGGGAAGTAGACAGAGCCGCCTGTGGTTTTCAAGTCCTTGGTGGCAGCGGAAGTACATCCCGTCACCTGCCCCCACCCAGATACAGAGCAGTGTGGCAAGGGAGGAGGAAACTGAGGCTTAGGCACTGGTGTCTCTTCTCCTTGGATACTGTTTGTACCAGTGAGCTTTGCTGAGTTGGAATTTCCAGGGCCATCAGCTGGAGGCTGTAGCAATGCTTTGGTGGTGGTACTGTAGGCCTCAGCAGCACACTGTAAACAGCATAAGAACATTGGTTCCTCGTGGTGGTTTCCATCCGACAGGAGTTGGCTGGTATTAGTGGACAAAGATTGTGTCACTGTTTGCTTTTTGCAAGTTTCTCAGGGGCATGTTATTTCTGCTTGAATGAATAAATCCAGTGCTTCACATGGGCGTGGCCTATGGCTGCATGTTGAGCATGCCAGAGTGAGCCGGGATTAAGGTCCAAGAACTGTTTCTACCTTTCACAGTGACACCCCAGTGACCTCTGTTCAGCTGTGGCCTTGTTAGCTGTGAAGCTGAGCCCGGATGGGGATGGACAAAGGTCTGATGGCATCTGACGTTCTCTCTGCAGGCAGAGAAAGTGTTCATGGTGGCTCGTGGCCTTGTCCGAGAGGCTCGGGAGAATTTAGAGGCACAGCAGGCTAAGCTGAAGGAGGTGAGGGACCGTTTGGATCGGGTCTCCAGGGAGGACAACCAGTACCTGGAACTGGCCACTGTGGAGCACCGGATGCTGCAGGTGAGCACCTCAGGCACCTGCACAGGGTCCTAGGCCCCAGCACAGCAGGTTGTGGAGGAGTTTAACCCTGACTGTTAATTAGATGCTCCTATGGTGGCCATGGCCCCAGGCTTCCGGAGCCTGTGTACCTGCTCTTTCCTGAGTACTGGGCGAAGAGTCCAGCAAAGGACTGACACCCGAGTGATTGAAGAGTGTGTGGAGGTGCTGGCTCAGGGAATGCCGCCCACTTATTCCCTAGAGATGTGTTCTGCATGACTGCCCAGTGGGAAGATCTTGTGGCCGCCTTTCACACTCCCCCCACCTCCCAGCTCTGCTCCTACCACCAGCCAGGTGTTTTTTGTCTTCTTCAGGCAGCAGGTGTTTGTGGAGCCAGGGGCAGGGGAGTGGCCCTGTGGCACTGGCTGCAGTCACAAGCTCCTGGTTGCTGCCTGACACCACTTTGCTCCCACAGGAAGAGAAGAGGCTCCGAGCAGCGTACGTGCGTGCAGAAGACTCAGAGCGGGAGAAGTTCTCTCTCTTCTCCGCAGCTGTGCGGGAGAGTCATGAGAAGGAGCGCACGAGGGCCGAGAGAACTAAGAACTGGTCCCTCATTGGGTCAGTCCTCGGAGCTCTGATCGGTGTGGCTGGCTCCACCTATGTTAACCGTGTCCGGCTACAAGAACTGAAGGCCTTACTCCTGGAGGCACAGAAAGGGCCTGTCAGTCTCCAGGAGGCCATCCGTGAACAGGCTTCTAGCTACTCCCTCCAGCAGAGAGACCTCAAGGACCTTATAGTGGATCTGAGGGGCCTGGTGCACACTGGGCAGGGCCAGGGCTCTGGGTCACCAACAGGGTCCTCTTCTACCCAAGGGAAGGACATAGAAACCCTTTCAGCTGCCATGAGAGAACAGCTCAGTCATTCCCGGCAGGTCCATTCCTGCCTAGAGGGTTTACGAGAGCAGCTTGATGGCCTGGAAAAGACTTGCAGCCAGATGGCTGGGGTGGTTCAGCTTGCAAAGGCTGCGGCACATCCAGGCCCGGTGGATCCAGTAGATGGGACCCTGCCCAGCTCTTTGCTGGAACAAGGGAGCGTGGTCTTGGCCCTGTCCGATATGGGGCAGAGGCTAGAAGCACAAGTCAACAGAAATACTATCTGCAGCACGCTGGTCACCTGTGTGACCTTTATGGCCACATTGCCTGTGCTGTACATGCTCTTCAAGACCAGTTAGCCCTGGGATCCTTCTTCAAAGGGGCCTAAGGGTGGAGGTGGCTGTTGTTGGTGATATAATCAGTCTTGAGGCGCATATAGCTTCAGACTGAGTGTCATCTAAGGAGCTGACCAGCAGGTGTTTTTTTATTTTGTAGGTAATACTTATTTACATAATTATCAAAACTTTCTGTAAATGTTCAATTAAAATATCTAAGAATTTGTATTATTTAAAAGGGTTTTACGTCAGACTCAGTTTTGTCATTGACTTCAGAAATCTGGGACGTGGGGTTCTGCTTGAAGTAAGAGAACTCACCCTTTCTTACCTCATCTTGGTCCTAGCTCAGGACTGTGTTAGATGAGGTTAGCCCTAAGGTCTAGATTCTCACTTTGAATATACTGACTTACCCTCTGATTGCTGGGCCTTCCTGTCTTCCTGTTTTGTCTGTTCAAGTGAACAGAACCTAGCCTGGTGCATAGCTTTTTGCCATGGGGTAGGGAGGAGAGGAACTTACTGGTTTTGATGTTGAAGTGTGCTCAGAAGAAAAGAAGAGATGGAGGACATCATTACAGATCCATGGTTTGTCTGCATCCTTGATGCCCTGGTGCAAAGTATTCCCCATGCGCCTGGACCTTCGAAAGGCATGGGTCTAGTTCAGACCTATGCTGGTAGCAGCACGGAGAAGTAGTTAAAGGTACAGTGAAAAACAGGTGTGGACTGCCCTGAGAACTCTGACCTCTTTTCAGAGGAACAGTGACCCTTGACTTCCTCAGTTAAATGGCGTGGGTGGCCTTGTGTAAACAGAATTTGTGGAGTGTTGTTCGGTGCCTGAGTATTAGGGGTGTAGAACCGTAGTGGGGAGTCAATTTAATAGCACTCCCCAGAGTGCATCTGCACCCCAGAGGGCACCCTCACCCCCAGGGTCACCACAGCTGTATACTTCAGGTGGGAGCTTGTTTGTGCCTTTGGAGCCAGAAGTGTTTCCCACCAGGAGCCTCTACTCTTGGATGAACTGTGCTCATCCCCAAACAGCAAGCATGGCCCAAATGGCTCCTCGAGTTCAAGAACCTCTGAGAACCTAGTCTCTTGGTCATTTGGACACTTCATTCTCGGTATACAGTGGTTCCCAGCACCTGAAGGGCCAGGAAGTATCCTAGCTGTATGGATGAGGCCAGGCTCCCCTCTGGGATAAAGTTAGCTCCAAGGAGAATGCACTTGAGTAAGTGGGTTTAAGCGGACTCCCCACACACGGAAGGGGCTCTCCTGTAAGTTGCAGAAGTGGGTGGGAGCGAGGGAGTCAGGGCAGACCGTCCCCGCTGAGGTGGGGATAGATCTGGGAGAGCTGTGGAGCATAAGGCTAGAGGGTGGGGAAAAGGCCTTGGAGTCCTGGGTTGGCGGTCTGAATGTCAGGCCGGGGTGAGGGAACGGGGAAGGGTTGTCACGATGTGCTGACGACGCCCTAGGTGACTGAAATCAGGTGCTGAAGGTGGAGGTGGAGGAAAAAGGGGTGATTTGGGACCTCAGGGGAAGGCTGTTTTAGACAGCACGGAGATAGTGAAAGGACCATCTTACAGCTTCAACAGCTGCGATGAAACACCATGGCCAAAAGCGAGCTGGGGAGGAAAGGGTTATTTGGCTTATGTTCATCATTTACGAAGTCTGAACAGGAACCCAAACAGGGCAGGATCCTGGAGGGGTGCAGCTTAGGGGCTTGCTCCTCAGGGCTTATTCAGCAAGCTTTCTGATAGAATGCAGTACCACCTGCCGGGGTGGCTCCACCCACAAGGGGCTGGGGCCTCCTCCATCAATCACTAATTAAGAAAATGCCCTACAGCGGGATCTTATGGAGGGATTTTTCTCAGCTGAGGTTCCCTTCTTTCAGATAACTCAGGCTTGGTCAAGTTGACAAAAAACAAGCCAGCGCAGCCCCCACCCCATTCCTGAGACGGGGCGGAAGGGTGTGGTGGAAGAGGATCCTGGCATCAGCTCTGAGTGCCATGACCTACGTGGAAGGCTTCCTTGCTGAAGAGCCCTCTAACCTTAGAGGCTTCTATATATGGCAAATTTTGCCTTTCTGGATGTTGTGCCGATGCCCTTGAGCTAAAGTCTTCCAAAAGCCCTCAGGATGGGTCAGGTCCTGGCTCCACAGATTGCCGTCGGCAAGCCTGGGTGTGAAAGGCCCTGCATAAGACTCAGCGCACTGCGCCTCGGGAGAGAACTTCTGCCCAGGAAGACCCAGGTGTTTTCCAAGGAGGGAGTCCAGACTTGCTCAAAGCTTCTGAGTTCTGGATAGCTCGAGGTACGGGCGTTGGAGGAAAGGAAGGAACTGAGACCCCACTTAGGCAGGCAGCGTGTTCTGCTTTCACTTCCCTGCCTATGGGTGGTATCACCCCCACTTGTGGGTGAGCAAATAGGTTGGGGGAGAGGTGTCAAGTTACATGGCTTAGTGGTGGCGCAAACTTGGGTCCAAAGCCCGGGCTCTCCTCAAACAGCCAGGGGTGGGGGCCGGAAGGAGAGGTTGGGTGTTGCGGAGTCCTGGGAGAAGGAAAGGTGGGCAGGGCCAGGTGAGAAGAGGAGAAAGCTGGCCCCTAGGAGTTCAGGTGAAGAAAGTTGGGGGAAGATGACTACAAGGGCCAGGAACTAGAAGGGAAAGAGGGCGCTCGGGGCGCAGAGCGAGGCGCGTAGCGGGTAGTGAAGATGGTGGTTTGGAAACAGGCCGGGCAGGTGAGGGACACGAGTCCCATCGAACTCTGGCAGGGCAAGTGCTGTATCACTACAACCAGGAGAAAGGCAAGCAACCATGGCCGCGGCCCCTAGCGTTCGGTGAGTGGGGCGAGCGGCTGGTCCCGAGCCGCGCGCAGGTGAGGCCCCCGCTGGGCGGGGCGGACCGCCCACGTTCCGGGCTCGGCTCCTCACCCTACACGTCCGCGTAGCCATGGCTACCGCCGGGGTTGCAACAACCCCCACTTAACGAGAGGGGCTGATTACCCCCCCCACCCCGGCCCTTCACAAACTCCGATCCCGCGGGACCGGAATGAAGGGTCCCGGGGGGCTGGGGCCGCGCACCCCGCTCTCCGGGCTGCTTCCGGCCTGACCCGGGCGGCGCGCGGGGGGAGGGCGGCCTGACGGGAGGGGGGTGGTGGAAGGAGCGGAGCCCGGGCCGGCCGACGCGGCTTTGTCTCCTTTGTTCCCAGCGGTGGCAGCGCCGCAGCGGGAGGGGCGGGCAGCGGGCGCAGTTTTCCGCCCCTCGGTCTCCGGGTAACAGCTGCGGCTCCGCCAGACCCACCTCCGGGGGGAGGGAAGGTCGCCGCACGCAGATCCCGAGCGAGCCCGGAGCTGCCCGCTGACGCCTCGCCGCGCGCATCCCGCAGGCAGGTCGGGCGGTGAGTTGCGGGGCTTGGGCTGGGAAGGCGGGGCCGGGCCGAAAGCCGCGCGCACCCAGGTGCAACGACCCGAGGCCTCGGTCCCGCTGGGCACGGGCAGCCCGAGTGGAGTGGTGGGCGGCTTCGGTCTAGAGAGTTGGGACCACACTCGTGCGCGCGAAGGCAAACTCTGGCGGCACCGCCTGTAACGCGATTGGGAGATAGAGGAGGTGGAGCTGCTCCTCCGCGCCCCCTCCTCGCTGCCGCCACCGCCGCTGTCGGGACCGGCCGGCCCCTTCCCCGCCCTCCCAGGGCCACTGGTGGGGTCTTTGTCCCGTGGCGCGGTGGAGGGCGGAGGGCTGAGGATGAGCCGAAGCGGGCAAGTGGAGGCTTCCCCAGAGGGTAACAGACCCTTCAGGCTGAGGCCGACAAAGGAGGGAGACCACGAGCCTTCTAATTCTGGGACTCAGTCTTGGTACCGACATACCCAGCGGGTGCTTGATGAGCCCCTTAATTTATCGCGGTTGTTTGGTCAACGATGGCATCCTTCTACCCCACTCAACATCCAGAAAGCAGGTGTGCAATGCACACCATTTCACAGTCAATGAGTAACGCTCTCCTTTAAGTGGATACTGGGACGGGGGCTCAGGAAGGGAAGGCCGGTTTCCCACTCCAACTCCCAGGTACAATACATGTACAGGTGCAGATGGGATGAATTTGGAAGCCTTCTTAGTGAGAGCAGCTGCAGGAGTGGGGGTCAGGTGGCGCTTGCCCTTTGCAGAAGTCAGGCAAGCAGTCTTGGGCCCCGCTGGGGTTTCAGGGAGTGTGGGCTCTGAAGAGGCCTGTGGGACAGGCCTGGGCACAGGCAGAGTTAAGACTTTGGCTATGAGCCTGGACAGAGTCTGAGATGTGGGGAGTTGGGAGGAGATACTGGCAGTGCAAGTTAGGGGCGTGAGGCTTGGCTCCAAATAAGCGTTTTCAGTCTGCTCTAGTCTGATCATTAATAAAACTGGGCCAATTCCTTGTGTTTTGAGAGGCCAGGAGGCTTGGAAAGCAGTGTGTAAGCTCCGTGTTACCCCTACCCTTCTTTGGCCGTGAAATGGGGGCTCATTCACCATGTAGGGAACACCTACTTTGCGCTGGGGTTGCCGGTTGCTGGGGTCTCCTAGTTAAAAGTGGGAACTCTGCGCCTTGTCCAGAGAGGGAGGCTGCAGCAGGAGAAAATGGTCTTGAGGCCCACTGGGCTCCACCACATTTACTGATTGGAGTGGTCCTACCTTCTCTCCCACCAATGGGAATCTGAGGCTCAGAGCCGGAAGAAATTGAGGCTGGTGACTAGGTGTGTCCATTTCTTCTACCACACAGGGTCACCTCCTTAGCCTGGGAAGCCTAGGAAGGCTCTCCAGGGAGGTGATGGCTGGGCGTGGGAGGTAATGGGAGAGAGAGGGAGTGGGCATTCCAGGCCTAGGAAACAGCCCTTGTGATGGCCGGGAGAGAAGAACAAGCCTGCAGTTTAAGCAGGAACGAAGAGCATTTGTGGGGGTGGTTGTAGACAGAGGGGCCTGACCTTTATCCCTCCAGACCCAGGGTACCCCAAAAGCTTGAGGAGTGTGTGCACTCCATTTTTGTTTAAAGAAAATCCAGTGAGCTCTTCCTAGATGGGAGGGACTAGGGATCCCTCTGTGGCGGGTAGCTGAAGTGAAGTAAAATCTATCGGCCGCATGCAGGAGAGAAAAGTCACTACCCTTTGTCCTGCCCTTGCCCATGGTATGTAGGCCCATTGACGTAGTTCCTTAGAGTGGGTCAACCTCTGACCTGTGTGCTGAGCTCTTTGGAGCCCTCGCATTTCTCTCAGTGTC